CATCATCCTCCGAATGGATCAAAAGCGGCAAATGCAGCTATAGAAACAAAAGTCACCAGGCAGGGAAAAGAGAAGGGATAAGAAAAAGCAAGAAACAGAACTGGAAAGACTGAAATGGGGCCTAAATTACGAGGGTAAAAGGAAAGGGGATAGGGACAGGTTTTACAAAGCTTTTTCTGGATGAAAGTAAAAATATTAAGCTGGAACGTGCGGGGATTGAATGAAGCTGATAAAAGGACTACAACTTCATCACTGATTAAGAAGTGGAAGCCGGATATTGTTTGTTTACAAGAAACAAAAATTGAAGAATTCCCAGTATCCTGGATTAGGCAAATATGGGGTAATCGTTGGGTTGAGTGGGCAGAGTTGAAATCTGTAGGTAACAGTGGAGGAATTATCATCCTATGGGACAAAAGACAATGGCAAACAGGGATACTCATCAAGGTTACTAAACTCTATCATGCATGCTAGAAAGTCTGCATGAACAATTCAAATGGTGTTTTACAGGGGTGTATGGGCCACACACAAATCCTGAAAGAGAGGAACTATGGCTAGAACTTGCAGCAATCAGATCTATCTGGAATGAGCAATGGGTTATAGGGGGTGATTTCAACGTTTGTAGGTATGAAAGTGAAAGATACAATTGTGTTAGAAGGTCCAGGGCCATGGTATCCTTCTCAGACATCATTCAAGACCTGGGTATTATAGACTTGCCTCTACAAGGAGCTTATTATACCTGGTTCAGAGGTGAAGACTCATTGCAAGCTTCAAGAATAGACAGGTTCTTAATTTCCCCTGAATGGTGCGACAGTTTCAAAGCTATCAAGCAGCTAGCCCTCCCAAGAGTGATCTCTGATCACAGACCCCTACTCCTTGATTGTGGCGACTGGGAAGCCACCCCCTCTTATTTCAAATTCGAGAATATGTGGCTACAGATGGAGAGTTTCATTGATAAGATTAAAAATTGGTGGCAGAGCTATGTGATAGGAGGCAGCCCAGATTTTATACTTGTGCAGAAACTGAGAAGGCTCAAGGCAGACATCACTAATTGGAACAGAGAGGAGTTTGGCAGACTGGAAACACAAAAGACTAAACTATTGGAGGAGTTAGCAATGCTGGAGCAAACAACAGAGAGCAGGACCCAAGCACAAGTTGAAAAGGAGAAACTAATGCAGATAAGAGTGGAATTACAGCAAATAGCAAGGGTTGAGGACATCTCATGGAGACAAAAATCAAAATGTTTATGGCTTAAAGAAGGTGACAGGAACACTAAGTTCTTTCAGAAAATGGCTAACTCCCACAGAAGGAACAATTACATTGACAGACTGAAGATAGGGGAGGAAATCATTGAGGACCAAGAATCCATCAAAGCTGAAATCCTAAGCTTTTATCAGGGGCTCTATTCAGAAAGTGAGCAATGGAGGCCTAGTGTCAACTTTGAAAACTTAGCTAGGATCTCGATGGAGGAAGAAGTGTGGCTGGAAAGAGCCTTTGAAGAAGAAGAAGTGATGGCATCCATCAATTCTTGTGCACCAGATAAAGCCCCAGGACCTGATGGCTACACAATGGCTTTTTACCAAAAAACTTGGAACTTTATCAAGCCGGACATTATGGCAGCAATCAACCATTTCCACCATAACTGTCATATGGTAAAGTCCAGCAATGCCTCCTTCATTGCACTTGTCCCGAAGAAAAAAGGTGCAGTAGAGCTCAAGGACTTTAGACCAATAAGCCTTATTGGAAGTGTGTATAAGATAGTAGCTAAACTGCTGGTAGAAAGAATGAAGACAGTGATGGGGAAGCTAATCTCAGGGGAACAGAATGCATTCCTAAAAGATAGACAGATAATTGATGCAGCTCTTATTGCAAATGAGCTGCTGGATGAGAGACTTAAAAGTGGAGTCCCTGGAATCCTATGTAAACTAGACATAGAGAAGGCATTTGATCAAGTCAACTGGTCCTATCTTCTGTCAACACTAAGGGGAATGGGATTTGGTGAAAGATGGATAAGGTGGATCAAGTTCAGTCTAACCACTGTCAAATACTCAATTCTCATCAACAGTCTCCAGTTGGCTTTTTCTCCCCTCAAAAAAGGATTAGGCAGGGAGACCCTCTCTCGCCTTTTCTCTTCATCATAGCAATGGAAGGTTTGAGCAAAATGCTTGATAAAGCAAGGCAATTAGAATGGATTCAAGGGTTCAAGATAAGCAGCAACTCAGGGAATTCAATCTCAATCTCCCATCTGTTATACGCAGATGACACACTAATCTTCTGTGGGGCTGAAAAACTGCAGCTGCAGTACCTCAATCTAACCCTCCTCATTTTTGAATCTATTTCAGGTCTACACATAAACATAGTGAAAATCATGATATATCCTGTCAATGTGGTGCCTAACTTAGACGAGCTGGCTGATATAATGAGTTGTGACATTGGCTCATTTCCTACTACCTACCTCGGACTGCCCTTGGGAGCAAAACATAAGTCAGTGGAGGTGTGGAATGGTGTGATTGAGAAAGTGGAGAAAAGGTTAGCAACTTGGCAGATGCAGTATCTCTCAATGGGTGGAAGGGTGACTCTGATCAACAGTGTTTTGGACAGCATACCAACCTACATCATGTCCCTATTCCCTATGCCAAGTAAAGTTCAAAAGCAGCTGGACAAATTGAGAAGATCCTTTTTATGGGAAGGTAACAGTGAAGGTCACAAATTCCATTTGGTGAAGTGGGCAACTGTAACTCAACCAAGGTCACTAGGTGATCTGGGCATTAGAGATCTTTCAAAACACAACAAGAGTTTGCTAATGAAGTGGCATTGGAGATATGGGCAAGAAGGCACAAGCTTATGGAAGGAAATAGTAAAAGCCAAATATGGTCACCTGGATAATTGGAGTACCAGAACCACAAGAGCTCCTCATGGGAAGCACATCAACAGCCTAAAGGAAGTCTTCCAACAAGAAGTGTCCTTCAAAGTTGGTAATGGAGCACATGTGAAATTTTGGAAGGATAAGTGGCTAGGGAACTTCACACTTCAAGAAACTTTCCCCACTCTATTCCACCTGGCTACTAATCCTAACTCAACAGTCGCACAAAATAGATCCAACAACACTTGGGAGGTCCTTTTCAGGAGAAACATACAAGACTGGGAGATTGAAGAAGTGCTTGACCTACTTGGAAGGTTAGCAAATTGTACAGTGAGTATCCAACACACGGATAATCTACGATGGGGCACTTCTAAGGAAGGGGCATATACAGTGAAGGCAGGCTACAATAAACTTTGTGCTTTGAATGAAGTTATTGACATGTGGCCTTGGAAGCTAATCTGGAAAACCAAAATGCCTACAAAGGTCAGCTGTTTTGCATGGACGACTCTTAAAGGTGCTATTTTGACACAAGACAATCTTTGTAGGAGGAGCTTCCAGATTGTTAATAGATGCCACATGTGTAAGCTAAACTCAGAATCAATCAATCACCTATTTCTGCATTGCACAGTGGCTATTGATCTCTGGCACATGTTCTTCTCAATTTTTGGTATCAGCTGGACACTACCTCAGAACATTAAGGAAGCAGTTGAAAGCTGGAGCTTTTGGAAAGTCAGCAAGGCCATTAAAAGTATCTGGAAAATGGTCCCAGGTTGCATATTTTGGTGTCTTTGGACAGAAAAGAATCGAAGATGTTTTGAAGGCATTTCAACTCCTATTCACTTTTTGAAAGCTAGATGTCTGGTGTATCTTTTTAGTTGGAGTAATATCTTCCCTGTAAATAATGTTATCCCCTTTCTAGACTTTATTGGCTCAATGAGCCTAGCCTGATGGCCCTTTTTTTTTGTTAGCTCCCTATGATTAGAATAGCACATGATGTACTGGAGCTAACATTTCTTCTTTTGTACTAACTGCATCTTCTTGATGCCAGCAATACAACACCTTACTTCATCAAAAAAAAAAATAGTTTGCCATATGAAATGTTAATCACTTGGTTGCTTGAACATGAAGGCGTCAGTCTTGAAGGTTCAAAAGAGAAAGTTATCAAAAGCACTTACAATGAGAAGGCTTTTGAGATTATGAATTTTGCCATGGAGAATGAGAAGTGGGTGAGAAAAATCGAATTAGAACCAATGCCTCCAACCCAATTTGCTGGATCAACAGCGAGATATTACTTCTTGGTGGTCGCTTGTGCCTAAGAAGCACGACATTGATGAGGTTTTGAAAAGTTCAGAAGCCTGGAAAAGGTGATATATGTCTGCGAAAGGAAGGACTTGAATGGCATGATTACAACGTTGAACTCTGAGGGGCTAGAGTAGTCAGGAAAATAGACTGTATTGAGAATCAAGTGCACAATCAGTTTGACCAACTTGGAGCACCGCTTTTTAAAGTTGTCAGTGAGCATTTGGCTAATATTGACTGACTGAATTTTCTGAGAAGTTTTAAACTGATTATGGATGGATAACTTTGTATTTGGTTTGGCTGACTGTAAAATATATTTAATTCTTTTTCTTGCTTATTTCATTCTGGTAAGCAGGCAAGGGCAACTACACAAGCAATAAGGCATCGCCTGCGGCTTCTAATCCAATTACAAGCTCTACTGGGGATTCTGATCCCGAATAGGGATTTTAAGTCACTGTGGATGGTTAATTATCTTTTGATTTTGAACTGATTAATTATCATCAGTAGTATAATGTTTATTATTGTAGTTATCTGTTGTCTACTTGAGTGTTTTGGTTGATGTCAAAAGTAAAAGGGGGGAGAAGATGGGTCAATAGACGGGGAGTTTCATATAAAGAGGAAAATCACATAGATAGGGGGAGTTCAATTCTGCATGAACAGAGGAAGCATATAAATAGAGGGAGTATTATTTTATATTATTAATTACAATATGACTTATTTTAAACTTCAGGTTTGCCATTATCAAAAGGGTGAGATTTTTAGTTTTGAGAAATATTTCAATGGTGACAAAATTGAAGTGAAAAAAACTTGATTAATTGAGATTACGTGATGTGTTTGACAGGATAATGTCGCTTGAAGGAGTCAAGTCATGAAGAGCATACACACGAGTTGAATGATACACCCCAAAGAAGTAGTTCAAGTAGAAGATGCATCAAGTCAGATGAAAGGAGTTATTGAATCATCATAAAATAGAAGAATGATTTAGATGAAGACAAAGACAAGACAGCAAGAAGAAAGAACTGAACGAGGAAGATTCAGTCAGACAAGTGTGCAAGTGTAAATAGTGCACCAATTATTGAGTGAGGTATCAAGTTTCAAAAGAAGGTTATCACAAGAAGGGAATTAATTGAAGATTTGAAGCCATTAGGATGAAAAAGCACGGTGCAGGAATTAAGGACTTTGTCAGATTTTGAACAAGAAAGTTACCCAGACAAGCATGCTGAGGAATTTACAATAGCAAGTGAAGGACAACATTCACAGGTAAATATTCTTAGCCTTGCATTATCTATGCTCTTGAAAAAGCTATTTGGTGCATTGAAGAGTAGAGACTGAAAAAGGAAAAGCTTGTACTGTGAAGGGCTGCTATATTTGTGGTGAGCAAGCTGAAAAACCACTTTTATTCTTTTGTTGGTGAGCGAGAAAAAATTAACCTTGTAAGCCTTTTGTGGGGATCAAGATAACTATAGTTTTGTGGTAATCATACTCGTTACTTGTAACTGAGCAAAATAAGAAAAGAAAGAGTGATAGAATCCCTTGGAAGTCAAGGAAGCTGAATATAGGCTAAATGTTTGGGGTCTTTGGACAAAAGTCCAAACCAATACAAAAACTATGGGAAAGTGATACGGTATAGCCGCTCTCAAAATAATAGTCGAAAAAATGTGTGTGTACAAAAGCATATAAACTTTATATATTTTTGCGGCTACCAAATGTAAATAGTTCTGTTGGCAGGCTAAAAGTGATCTTTGCCCTGCGTATGTTCTTTCTGTTTACTGCTTTCTTATTCTTCTAACTACTTAATATTTACACTTCGATTGTCTATCATTTGACCCTGCCCAGAATATCCGAGTTTTACTAAGTTGTTTTACAACTTACAAAGTTCTTTTTAATAAAAACTGTAATCTATCTTGGAAGTCATTAGCAAGAACATGATAATCATCTGACGATCATTTAAGGTGTGGTGCAGCTTCCCATTACTACATTATACCGTGTAAAAATTTATCCATATTTGGTGTTTACACCAAATTATAGTAATTTACTGTAGTTAAGTTATAATTTAAGGTGAGAATGTGTATTATTTAATTATGATTTAGTGATAAGACTTGAGAGTATATATACATATATCATATATTTATAGGGTTAGTGTAAACGCTAGATGCCTATAAGATTTTACCTGGTACCGTTGGATGACGTCTAGTAAAAGTGCTTAGCGGCCTATTGCAGGACTTTGGCTGTGATATAGAAAGGACAAAAGGAACTATTTAAGTTTTTTTCCTCGGAATTGTAAAGGCCCCGTTTGCTTTTGTTATTATTAAATCTCGATTTGAACACTGAGTAATTAAATAAATTTCATCAAAATAAATTCCATCTAAATAATTTCCTTTAAGCTTAACTTGTTTGAATTTAAGCAAAATACATAAAGATTCCATTAAACTTGTCTAAAAAACAAGTTTGAACACTTAAATAAAACGGGTGTTCTTTTACCCCTCTATTCTTGTTCGGAGTGAATTAAATATCACTCCATATGCTGACGCGGAAAAAAATTTATTATATAAAAAGGGTAGGCGCGTTGGACCGGAAATAACACAGAATTTTCCCTCCCCCTCATCTTCTTAACGGCCTCCTCTCTTCTTCGTCTCAAACACCCTTTTTTTAATTTCCAAGCCAAATTTAATCTTTTTTACTCAAATCAATTTAGTCTAAGCTAAAGTAATGCTTGTTTGCCGGAAAAATCAAATTTCGTGGAATGGAATTATGATAAGCCATAACAAGGTGTTTGCCGGAAAAATCAAATGTCACCGGAAAAAGGAATTTCTTTTTGCCTTTTTTGTTCTATTTCCTCTTCTTCTTCCATTTTTTTTTTTTGTCATTTACTTCTATCGCAAATTCAACTTGATTCTTTTCTCATACTTTAATTGAGATGATTGCAGTGCATGCTTCTTCGTAAATTTCTACTTTTTAAGATGAAATTTCTTGTACACTTTGAATTTGGTACTATGGGTATGTTATTATTTATTTGAGATTGTGTAATTATAGAAAAACATTACTTTCGCCTAATTTTTCTTTCTCTGCTTTTTTGTTATGGCGGAGGTTACTATAATTTTCCATTTTCGTTAGAAGGGCGGGAGCTACGTCGGCGATCGCCGACGGGACTTGGGGAAGGGATATGAAAAGAAAAAATAGTGAAAGAAAGAAGAGAACAAGATTTAAAAAGAAAAGAAAAAAGAGAAAACAAGTAAAATTAAATAATATCTGACGTGGCAAAATTATAGGGAGAGTGCAAATTCACTCCAAACTAGAATAGGGTAAAAGAACACTCGTTTAGTTAAGTGTTTAAACCTGTTTTTTGGACAACTTTAAAGGGAAACTTATGTATTTTTCCTTGAATTTAATACCATACTTTGATGACTCCATGCATCATATGAGTCCATGACGAATACTGAAGAAGTCCAAAATCTTTACTATGGGTGAGTTATATAACTGCCAGTTCCCTTTCACAATAATAATTTTCTTTGACTTCAAGTTTTGTACATTAACATGTATAAGAATTATTTATACAATAGGTATCTTGCTTGACAAAAAAATTACACTAAAATGTAATTAACTTGCTATAGGAGGTTAAACAACACTAATGGTATAAACAAATTTTATTGCTTACTGCTTTAAACTCCACCTTCTCACAGTACTATATGTAAAATTATATAAACTTATTTAATAATTATATATACTTAGAAGAACTAGGTATTATACACATAGCATTAAACAATGATAAAAATGTCACCACCAGCTCGCTCTTTGATATTTGGAGACGTCCTTTTCTTGTTTTTCATTCAGTACAACTAATGCCCATAGTTGCACAGAGGGATTCTTGTCAGATGCGAAGCGGAGAAATCTAGTAGTAACATTTTGCAAGCGATATCAAGAAGTNATATATATATATATATATATATATATAGATACATATATTGTGATATTTTAATTAATTTTTCCCCTTTAGCATTCCACTATAATAAAACACACCATATTTAATACTAAATTTGATTATGAATTCGTTCAAAGGTATAAACTGAAGTTTTCTTTATTTATTAAAATCTACCCATTTTATTTTATATTATATGTCATAGCAATTAAATTTTCTTCTCTTTAACCCTTAGTATTTATTAGTTTCTCTTTTCATTTTGCTTCCCCGTAAAAAATGTTGGCTTTAGAGAGAATAAAGAAGGTGGAGGATAATAAATCCGTTGCAATAAAATTATAAAGTTAAAGAATCTAGAGGGTATTTTTTGTAAACAACCAATTATTTTAGAAATTAGACCATGCTTAAACACCAAATCAAATAGTGGATAAAAATAATGAAAAAAAGGAAAATTAGAGTTAGAATCGTCATCAACGTCACCAAATTATTCTATCAGGTCAGTGGTTGAGTGGTCCGGTTGTTCGAGGCGCAGTTGAATGTGGTGAATGAGAGGGAATTACTTTTCAATGCGTTTAATCCGTTGGGTCGTGGTCGACGCCAGGCAACTGATGACAACCTGTTGTCTATTTCGGCTGGTTTCGCTCGTAGTGATGTTGATGCTGGACGTGAGATTGTTGGGGCCGACGAGGACTCAAACGAGCAAGAATATTTGCCTTGTATATTTTAAAAAATTAGCCGTTCTTCGGGCGATTGTGGAACTAATGAAATACTCTTTTTATAATTTAATTGAGATAGAAGAGAATTTTATTTATGTAAATCCACATACCTATACTTCTATATCTTGGTGATACAACAAATAATTTTTTTATTAGAATTAGAGCTTAGATGACCAGTTTGCATTATAAAATTTTCTTTGAAAATGAAGGGAAAAAACACAAAAGAAATTTAAAGGGATTTTTTTTTAAATTTTTGTGTACATGTATATATACGTGATTCTAATACACAATTCTCTTAAATGTATTTAAATTGAAAATAGTGTTAGTTAAATTGAAGTGTGTGCCTCTTGTACTTCACCTAAAAGTGAATTAACTTTTGCAAGAGAAAACAAGATTCTGAAATCCAAGAGAAAACAAGATTCTTCAATTATCTAAGTTAGAGAAGCTCTAACTTCTCTCTAATCTTTCCCTTTCCCATACTACCGCTTCAAATTAATCAACCAACCACCATCAACATCCATGAAGGAATCTTCCGAAATCCAATTATCAGATCAAGAGAGGGACCAACTCAATTGCAACATCAATAAACCTAAAGAAGCTATGAATATAGATAAGGAACTCAGCACTTCAACAATAAATACAAGCAAGGTAAGCTTCCGAGATACTGTTTCCCCACCCTCCCCCCACCAATCAACAACACCCTAGAAATAGAATTCCTAAACAAATTATCACTAGAAGAAGAAAATTCCAACCCAACTAAACACCCTTGTTTTATACCCATATCCACAAATGACAAGTTAAAGCTATACCGACATTGGAAACAATCCATTATTATCAAACTGCTAGGCAAAAAAATATCCTATACAAACCTTAAGACCAAATTAAGCTCACTTTGGCAACTGGATGAAACTCTTCAACTCGTAGACCTAGGTTACGATTTCTACCTCATCAAATTCCAAAATATTGATAACTACAACAAAGTATACCAAAAGGGACCTTGGTTCGTAGGATCTCAATACCTCTCCATACGTCAGTGGGAACCCAAATTTAATCCAACTTTACCACACTCAAATTTTACTAATGTATGGATCTGTCTCCAAGCACTACCCACTGAATACTACGACTTGCAAATCCTCAAAAAAATTGCAAATTTCATTGGATCACTCATAAAAGTGGACACATGTATAGAACATACATCAAGAGGTCGATATGTCAGGGTTTGTATCTTAGCACCACTAGGAAAAACCCTTCCTTCTGAAATCTTACTAGGAAATCACACCCAATTAATACACTACGAGAATTCTTCTATTATATATACAAAATGCGGTTGTCTAGGTCATAACCTACACTATTTCATGACCTCTACAATACCTTCAACCTCCAAGCAACCTCGTGACAATCTAAACACATCCACTAAGGAAGATGATCAACAAACTCAATGGAAACTAGTCTCATACGATAAAAAAATGGCAGTAGCAAATTGAACGAACACAATTTTCTCCAAACCAACACAAAGAGCCTAAACCACCAAAACCTTCCCAATACCACTTCCAAGGACACAACAAACACAAATGGACCCATGTCACTAAAAAACAAGCCAATAACTACAACCTACAAGACTAAACTAACCTACCACGTTAAAACCTTACCCTTGACCCACCCATTACTACATATACAAACGGCAAAACCGCACAACCCACCTAATACCACCTACACCAAAATCCAACAATCCTAACCAAAACTATTTCAAACCACTAACTTCCCATAATCATCAATCACTGCCCACCCCCCGAAAATCTAGGAGAAACAAATAATCACCCTAAGTCACTACCCCTACACCCTCTCATCCGTAAATCCTTGTTCAAAAACATACCTCCAAACCAATACAACAACAAGAAACAAAAAAAAGAATATCATCATGATTCTACTACCCTACTTCCGGCCACTCACAATCACCCCACATGAGCAACACTCATCAAACTCCAATAAGACACTCATGCAACCAATTATAAACCCTATGATACCCCCCCTTACTCAAAAACTCCAAACTCAATTCATACAATCAACCTCACCTGCCACACTCCATTACCTCAATATCATCATCACCTAAAAGATCAACACCCAATACTCCTTCAACAGA